CCATCGAAGCCGAGATGATGATCGTGAACGTCATCATAGTCGAGACCGCGATAGGTAGACTGCCACTTTATTTACGAGTTAGTTTTTTCGTTTATGAACAATGAATGCATGGAGTCAATCTTCTCTTAGATTCATTCACCCATTGCGCAAGCGAAATGATATACTCATCATTAATATTGATCGTATAATAGGAATACAAATGCTTAATTTTGCCCATAGAGGAAGTTGTCCACGAGGTTGTGTAGGTTCTTTCTGCTAGTGGCTATAGTTTGCAGTTTTGTTCTTTTTAGAGAGGTTTTTGTATAGAAGCTTGCTTGCTTCCAGGTTGAGAGGATACAGTATATGTACATACATCATTCTGGTGATTGAGGAATAAAAATGCTTGCTTAGAAAAAAAGTATTGACCACAGAATCTCTGTATATGATGCATTTTAAATGTAGGAATTTTTTTGTTGATGAGAATGGACAATATAAAACTGCGCTGTCAGCATAAGAACTTCAGTCTATTGCTGTCTTACTGTGAATTTTATTGAGATATGAGAGTACGCCTGATACCAAGAGTAATGGAAAATATGGCTGAAAACATAAAGAATAGCTGAAATATGGATTCTTTTTTTTATCTTTTTCTGACATACATCTGAAAAACATTCATGTTCCTGATTTTTACTTGTTGACATTTTGAGTTCGTTTATTTCTTTTAATTTATTTATTAGGTCATAGCCCCGTGTGTAAACTATGCTATGTATGAGAATTATAATATTTAGCTGTGCAGAAATTTTTCCTTTTAACTTTTTTTCCCAACACTTGCATTATCAGTGTCGTAAATTTTTATGGTTGAGTTTTGGATCCTAATACAGCTTGCTAATCATCAATAAAGTACCGTATATTCTAACATTCATTCAAACTGATTTTTGAGTAATTTTTTAAATACGTACATTGCTTATACCATATTAATTTGGTCTTTTTCCTCGGCAAGTTCATTTTAGGGACTCCTTTCATATAGGTTAGGGTTGATATGGAGCTTGTCAATCCCTGTTGTATTGCAGTTTGCTAATTGCATATAACATGACAAATCCTTTCTGCCTTGCTTCTTAAGGAATTTCTTCTAGGGATAATATGAGATTCTTAGCAATGCTTTACCCATCCACAGTCTCTTATTTCTTTAGAAGCTAAAATAATCTGTATTGGGAAGTGCAATTTAGATGGCTAATTTTTGATAACCGTAGTACTTGTGATGAATTGTATTTACTTTTTATTAGATGCTTTGAGATGTTTATCATTTCAGATGTCTGCTAATAGAATAGTATTTCTTTATATTATTTATTTTCTTGCTTTGTCATTCCAGGCGTAGGGATTATGATAGAGACAGAGAAAGTCGGCATAGGCATAGATCTCGGTCACAGTCAAAAGGTAGATCTAGTCGTAGATCACGATCTCGTTCTCGTTCAAGATCAAAGAGGTAAGAATTATAATACGTGCTCCTTGTTGTGCAATATGAATTTCCTTTAAATTCTTAACTTCTTTATTCACATTTATCTTTTTGCATATTTTTAAAAATGAATTATGAATTTTTGTACGTCACCATTTGCTACACACATAAGTGAGAAAAATGGATATGCGTAGTACCAAGCACAAATTTGATGCTTGATAATGAGGTGATTCTCATCATCTAAGTTGCATGGAATTTAGGGTACGGGGATGGGTACGAGACATGGCAAATTTGTGAAATTTAGAGTACGGGGATATGGCTACATAATATATTAAAATTAAAATTAATAATTTACATGAGATTATTATTGCTTTTCAATTCACGTGTAACGTGTTATTAGAATCGAAATTCCTATCACATTTTAAAGTTTCTTTCATTATGTTTATTGTAAATTGGGCTAGACACCCAAATGATCTTTTGAGATCATAATTTTTAAATTTGGGTATGGGCTAAAACAAACCCAAGCCATGTCTAACGAGTAACAAGTTTCGAAAAATGATATGAAGTATATGATATTTGTCTAAGAAATGTATGACAAGTGTTTTAAACACATATATCATATAATTGAGTACATGTCTAAACAAATGAGTGCATATCTCCAAGGAGTGTCCATGAAGTTTGGGTACAGGAACGTGTCCGGTACGAGTACGACTTCATGATAAAAGTACCTGATTACGTAGTTTATCACTTATTCAAGTTGTCCCCATTTGAAAATAACCACTTCTTAATTATTCAACCCATGTGCACCAATGTGATGCTGTTCGCCTCCCCTTTTAAATAAATGGATGGGATAAGAATGAGCCACCTTACTACCAAGTATCAAGTTTGTGCTTGGTACTAGTCCTTGGTAGAGAAGTCATTCTAGTCCACTCATGTGAATGGTCCCCTTCTTAGAAATTAGTGGATGAGAATAAGTCACCTCACTACTAAGAACTAAAATTGCTCCTCGGTACCAAGGATATACATATTCTTCTTTTTTTTTGTTCGAATATATAACTTTTTGGACACCATTCAATATCACGGTGTAAAGACTTGATTTTTGTAAGTATGTCAGAAATGGTGTTTCACTGTAGTGAAACTTTATCAACTATCTCAAGGTACTGTTCTGGAACTCACAAAATACAAATAATTATGCCTTACCTTTTGGGAAAGAGATACAACTAACTGAATAATGCATTGAAGCAATATTGAATTTAACGGATATTAGGCGATGGATCTTCCATCCTTGAGGGGCCATGGTGATTTTTTGTCTTGCCTTACATGGTAGACATTCAATAGGTTTGATTTGCAGCTTTTTATCTGTTGTGAGATTGATAAATTAATGGATGTCTTGAAGGGTGATGAGATTGGTAAATTAAGATGGATATATGGAGGTTTATCATGATAGTAGATCCCCACTTGCCGATGAAGTCAGCGGTGAGGTATCGCTAAAGCTATTTAGGGCTATTACGGTAAAATAACGACAAATAGCGCATAGTCAAATAGCGGTCAAATATAAATATATTTAAATATTCTATATAATAAGAAAAATTATATTAAAAATATAAAAATTCTACAAATGCATACTTGATGCCTAAGCATGAAATAGATGTGTAATAATTGCATAATATTAACAAAGTTCTATAATTATAAAGAATAAAAAAATATACTTGTTTATCAAAAAGACTGTTATTTGTCCAATTTCTTCAACTTTTAAGTCTCTAATATAAAAATGCTCAACAATAAAAAACATTGATTAGTAACATCATCATCATTATATTAACTACTAGAAATTTGACATAAAAAATAAAATATTCAAGTATAAATAAATAACTAAATGAGCAAAGCAAGATAATATCATGATAGATAATAACAGTCTATAGATACTAAGCAAGCAAGAAAGATCAAACTAACACATGTCCAAACTCAAAACTCAAAAAGTCTAAATCAAAGCAAAATAAAAGCTAGAAGTCTTAAAAGTGAAGTGACTAAAGTTTGAATATGAGCAATGACTCATCATCACTCATCATCCTCATCATCATTAGTAGTGCTAAGTAGCAAAATCTCATCTCTCAAAGCATCCTCGTCGCTATTGTCATCATCAAGTTGAATATCCTCCTCATATGAGTCTGAGTCCTCAATAGGTCCCTCCTCATCGTCCTCCGAATCTACCTCTTCGCAGGCTCTTGAACTAGAAGCCCTTTTTGCCCTCCTTGTGGTCCTCCTTGGCTGCAAGAACTCGTCTGTTCCAGCTTCTTTGGAGATAACTCCAAGTGGAATGTCAGTCCCTGAATAATAATCCTCTTCCTCCTCAGAGTTATATCCATCCACCACCCATGAAGAAGCATGCCGACCGTCTTTAGCCTCTTCTTTCTATCCTTTCTTGTTGTATCCATCTTAGTTCTGATCCTTAAATTGAATTGTACATAGACTAGATTGCTCAATCTCTTGCTATCGAGCCTATTTCTTTTCTTTGTGTGGATCTGCATTCAAACATAAAAAATATCATTTCTTTAAATTATCATTTTATCATTTACTATTTAATGACTTCAAATTCAATCTCTTTTTTTTTAATATGGACAATTGAATGTAAAAATTAAAACAAGGTAGTGAGTGATTACCCCTTCAAAACAACCCCAGTTTCTCTCACATCCGGAGGAGCTACCTATCAATCTCAATATCCTAAGAGCCATCATTTGCATGTAAGGCATGTCTCCACCAAATGTGTCCCACCACTGAGCTGTTTGAAGAGGGTAAAACAAATTAATCAATTGATTCAATCTCAAAACTAGCAAATATATATCAAAATATAAGTTAATACCTGAATTACGGTCCTCAATAATTCTCTTCACTACTCAGTGCTTTTGGCTTTCCATGGATGAAAGCATCACAGTCCCTATACTTTAACATCTCAGTGGAGTAGATGGTATTGACAATAGCCTCATCAATAGTATCTCCATTCCTAAAAAATGGCTCAGCACAATCAAGAACTACTTGCTTAGCTTCTACATTTTTCTTAGCCACCTCATCCTCCGCATAATAAAAAAGAGAATTTAGGAACCATGTAGTCAGGTGAAGAGGACTATCAAGCCTATTCTTAGCATGTCTCTCTATTGGATATGATAGGCTTATATTCCTTCTCTATCTTCCAAGCAGACATGATTTCCCTCTTCACTATTTGAAGCTCTCCAATAATAAATCCCATTGAGGGACAAGTATCTGAACCGACCACACGAAGAAACTTCAAAAGAGGCGTGAAGATCTTCAAGCAACTCCTCACACCTCTCCAGAAGGATCTTGATATTACCGTAGCATTTGTTGTAGGAGCTTTATTCTTTGCACCCCCGATAAACTTCAAACCCGTAAACTCATCTGAATTAAACATAGCCATTAGTGTATCCTTTTCCAGCAGGCTTCCTAGTGTGAGGAATGAGGTAGCAAATCTAGTGGTGCCTGGCCTGACAATATCCTTCCTCCTCGTGCACTTACGCATAAGTGCCAATGTCCTAGTGTGGCTATAGATAAAAACAGTCAACGCCCTAGTCTTCTCAATTGTATTTTGAAACTTTCAATTTTTCAATGTCCTGCAACATGAGATTGGTTGTGTGCGCCGCGCAAGAAGTCCAAAAGATTCTTAGCCTCTCACTTTTTAGCTTCTCCTTTGCAGCCATCTTTGCCAAGTGATTATCGGTGACAACTTGTACAACATAGTCTGTCCCTATCTCCTGGATGCATTGATCAAACCACTTAAAAATAAAATCGCCGGTATAAGACTCAGCAGACTCCTCTATCGAGTTGTAGAAGATAACTCCAGCACTAGAATGGATGCACATGTTCATAACACATCTGTGCTCAGTGTTATCGAGGCGCGATGCGCAATGCGGGACGCAAAGGTCCCTTACGCGCACCATGCGCAAGGCGCACAACGAGGCGCGTGCCTCACTAAATCGAGGCGCATCATAAGACAAAAGAACATGATATAAGCAACATGTTTATAAATTATCACATAAAAAGACTAGAAATATAATTTCACCTATTAAATCACGAAAGAGTCTTAATTAGCATGCATAACATAGAGAAGTTCATAAGTTCTCACAAATCACAATGCAAGATAATATCCAACATAAGCAAAAGTCTACGAAATAAAATAAGCAAGTAGGCAAGTAGCAATATAACAAAGTGTCTAGTCATCCTCATCATCATCGTCATCCAGCTGAAGTGGTATTTCCTCATCCTCAGTTTCCTCCTCTTCTTCATTAAACTCTTCTTCATCCTCCGAGTCCGGCTCGCTCCTCCTAGATGACGAAGCAACACCACTTGAAGATCCTCGAATCCTAGCAGTAGACCTTAAACTTGGTCCAAAATCTTCTTCAACTCCCGTTGCTTCACCTACAACACCCCATCTAAGATCATCCTCCTCATCCACCAAGTCATTTTCCGCATTGTCGCCCTCTCCAAATTGACCTAACAACCACTCGTTGCTTTCATCTATGTCAGTCAACTTGATTGGATCAACAATATCCCTGCAGTCAAATCTTTCCTTCAAAGCTTGATTATATTTGCAATATACTAGATCCTGCAATCTATTGTGATCCAACCTATTTCTCTTCTTGGTGTGTATCTGCAATTCATATAAAGTCAAAGAATCAAATTAGTATGCGAAATCCTTAATTCTTTAAGCATATGTTTATTCAATTAAATAAAATTAAACATACTTGTTCAAAAGTACTCCAGTTTCTTTCACACCCAGAGGAGCTACAAGTGAGACTAAGGATCCTTATAGCAAGTTTCTGCAGAATCGGAGTTGCTGCACCGTAAGAATCCTACCAATCAGCTGTCAAGATATACAAAGTAATGAGTAATCAATACGAGTATACGATAATTTATTAATTTATTTAACTAAAAAGTATGTGTACATAATTAATTGATATATTTTACCTGGAGATTTCTTTTCTCGGTTTCTAATAGCTATAGGCATGCCAAATAGATCATGTGCTTCTTTGTATAAAGTCAACTCTTGAGAAATTTTATCTTGATCATGTAGGGGCACAAGCTTTTGAATGACTTCCCAGAGGCCTTTCATGATCTCCTTATCGGCTTGAATGTTAGGGTGGGCATAGAAAAAATTTGGATTAAGGTAAAACCCTGCAGCATGCAAAGGATGATGTAGTTGAACATTCCATCTCTTATCAATCAATTCAAATACCTCCGAATATTTGCTTGCATCCTCACTAAAGGCTTTTGCAATAGCCTCTTTGGCTCTATCCATAGCCTCATAAATAAACCCCATGGCCGGCTTCCTCTCGTTATCAACAAGCTTCAAAACACGAACAAGAGGACCCGTGAGCTTGAGAACACGAAGCCGGCTTCCTCTCGTTATCAACAAGCTTCAAAACACGAACAAGAGGACCCGTGAGCTTGAGAACACGAACAACATTATTCCAAAAGTTAGGCATTTTAACTATCCTCTCCGCCGCTTTGCCCTTTGGATCTCTTGCCCACTTGCTTTCCACCCACTTTTCGGAGCAAAACATCTTCCTTAGATTATTCTTCTGCTTATGAATGCTTGATAAAGTCAAAAATGAAGTGGCAAACCGCGTCGCCGCCGGTCTAAGAAGCTCTCTAGCGTTGATTTGATCTCTCATCAACCTCAAAACCCAACCATGTGAATAAATGAAACCCGTCAACTTCATAGCACGACTCAAGGTCATCTTCACGAATGGCAGTTTTCCAATATCCTTAAGTATGAGATTAAGACAATGAGCAGCACACGGTGTCCAGTACATATGAGGATATTCATCCATCAAGTATTTACCTAGAACAAACAAACAAACATCTCATTAGGTTTTAATCATTCAATTTTAAAGAAATTAGAAAGCACATCAATCAATATCAAATAAATTAAATCAAATATAAAATTCCATACCAGCTAATTTAAGACTTGCATGATTGTCCGTTACAACTTGCACAACATTCTCCGGCCCTATCTTCTTAATCTCCTCATTTAAGATCTCAAACATCCTCGCACCAGTCTTGATCTCATCGGAAGCATCAATAGAGGAAAGAAATACTGTTCCGTGAGGAGAGTTCACAAGAAAATTAATCAAAGTCCTTTCCTTCCGGTCAGTCCAACCATCCGACATAAAAGAGCATCCTTTTTTGGCCCAAACCTCCTTATGAGGTTGCATGAGATCTTCAGTGTACTTCTTCTCCTTCTTAAGCAATGACTCTCGTAATTGATGGAATGTTGGAGGTGGCAAGTTAGGCCCAAAAGCTCCCACTGACTTCAACATAATTCCAAAGGACCTAATTTGTGCGGCATTAAATGGAATTCCCGCTTGATACCACCAACGGGCAATATCTTGATGCACTTTAGCAACTGCATCTTTGTTGAGGCCTTCTTCAATGCTTGTTTGCCGCAATTTTCGCCTTCTATCATCTTTAGCCACCTCTAATGCCGGGTCAAATGAGAGAAATGAATCCATAGGCCCCTTCCTCTTTGTTGAAGATCCCACACTTCCCCTTCCTCCTGTAGGTAAGGAAGATGATTTAGAAGTAGAAGTCAATACACCCTTTCCCTTGTTCCTAGTTGCTTGTGCTTGTTCTTCAACCTCGTCAACTTCATCTATTTCAACCATGTCATCATCTTCAAGATCTGGCATGTAATTTTCCACTGCTTGTTGTCTTCTAATAATTGCTTGTTTTTTGTCATATTCCTTAAGCTCATCAACCACATTCGAAGGAACTTTCTTGCAAAGGGAAACATTTTTACGTTTCCTCGTCGTTCCAATAAGATGCTCCTTTTGCCTTGATATGCCGCCATTGGTGATCTTATTACAATAAATGCACTTGTGCTTGTTGGAATTCCCTTCCTCAATTAGAAAAGTGTACTTCCAAGTCGGATCTTGTCTTCTACCTTTATTCGCACTCGCCGATGTCGATGAAGACATACTCAAGTTTATTAGTCACCTACACCCAAAATTATGACAATATCAACTTAAATCATCAAATTATGCTAACTAAAATTTTAAAGTAACAAATAAGATACAAGAAATATGTTTTAATTAAACATGAAATATGTTTTTTAAGTAACAATTAAGTGATTAATAATTAAATATTTACACGTTCATAATTTAGTAGTTACTAGTTAGCATGCTAATTACCTATTTTAAGCTCTTTTTTCTAATTAAACTAATTACTAAGTTGTTGTTGCTCATTGACTTGTTTTTTTCTTTTTTACAGATTATACTTGAGTTAAGTAGCAACGAGTAAGGATGAAGGATCAATCAAATTTCCCAACATGGCTACCAAAATAAATATCCACAATTCATTCATTGAATATGTAATTTGTATATTCATATTGTATTCCTATTTTCTAATGAGATCTTCATATGTAAATGTATATATAACAGTTAATTGAAGTATTGAACAACAGCAATTAATTGAACAGCAGCAGTTAATTGAACATCAGAAAAAGAAAAATTAATTCTCAAAGAAAAAATTAATTGCCAAGTGCAAGTAAATACAATTAAGAAGTTTGCATGAGTTAGAAATCAAAATTAACAAGACAAAAAAAAAAGCGACAGAGAACAAAAAAAAAAAACTGAAGAAAACAAGAACAGAGAACGAGAAAAGAGAACGAAGACGGCGAACAAAAGAAAAAAGCGACGAACAAAAGAAAAAAAAACCTAGATTACCACAATATCTCGGCGGCGAACAAGTCAAAAAAAAAAAAAACAAAACCAAAAAACGAAACGACTGAAGAAAACAAGAAAAGAGAACGAGAAAGGAGATCTGAAAAAAAAATCGAAGAAAAAAAAAAGAGAACTGAAGAAAATTACCTGCTTGGACGGCGACGTCGGGGTGGGACGGCGACGGCGGAATCTGCGACGGCGTCAGACGGGTGCGACGAAGACGGTTTTTGGCTTGGCGCCTTGGCGGCTCTGGATCGGGGAACGAAGAGCTGGAGTTCACAACTTCAGCGTTTTTTGATTGAGAAAGAAGTTGGAAACCCTAAGGGGAAAAGAGGTAAGGAGCAAATATTACCCGAAACCCGTTTGAAATTTCCCAACCCACCTCAAATCGCCCCAACAGTTGAAGCGAATCAAGGCGCTGCGCCTCCTGGGGCGCGCCTGAGGCGCGCGCCTCAATAAGACTGTCTGTGCTTTCGATCAGTCCACGAATCTGTCATTAATGTGCAGCCGGTAGTCTCCCAAAGCTGCTTATGTGGCTCCAAACCAACTGAAGTACGAGCTACTGCCTTCTTCAACAAAAGACTCCCTCAGCTGATACATCGTCGGTGCCACCTAGCCTGGGCTAAACTGGCTAATAGCTTCACATATATTGTTGAATGAAGGGAGCATCAATACATGAAATGGACTCCATGCTTCATAGGTCCAAAGAGAGACTTATTCGTGGACCAACTCCCTTCTTTTGTTCTCAGCTACATCAACTTCATAGTTGAAGATGGTGTAGGCTCCTCTAGCAAGAATGTAGCATATCGATGGATAACTCCTAATTCACGGGGCTCTTGTTTCCAATTTGAGTGATTTCTTTCGCATTCTCAATTTTGGAACTAGAAAGAAATATCGACATCCTGCCTATGCTCGATCTCATATCTTATCTTGTCTGACTTCTTGTCCTTACTTTCAGCCATTGCTGCTTTTACCCTCGCTATATTATCAGACGTCACTTTCTTGCATGGTTTTGTATTCCCCCGGCTACTAGTTAAGTGTTCTTTATGGCGACAAATGGCACCCATGGATTTATGTCCACACGAGTGCACTTGATCTTTTTCTTCTCAGGCCAATCTGGATAAATTGCCCAATCCCATCCAATATCATCTGAAGGATGTGGATGTGGGTGTTGAACCGAAGCTCGAGCCTCAGCAGCTAGATTTGGTTGGCCTTGGGAGCTACCTGACACTCAATTTTGAGAACTCATCAATGGATTAGATGCTATAGAGGACAATTCCATACAATGGTTGAAATTATTCTTGTTCAATGAATAATTGAAACAGATAACAATATAAGTACTAGAACTTTACAATATTATCATTTATCAGCATATTATATCATATATCATTGATCATAACTGAAGAGATGAACTTTTAGAAAATGAATAATTGAAACAGAAAGCAGAAAGTTAATATATAGTTACTTATTTAGTCTATTGCTGGCTATTTAAATTTTACATTGATGCTCATTGTTCGAATTTGCATTTAAATACAGTCCTTTGTTTCCAAAAGTAATTTCGGAAAGAGAATTCAAACTTTTACAACTACTTACAAGAAGCTTTTGCATTTGACTCCCAACACATTACACAGGACAACTAGGCAATTGTTGACTTCCTCTCTTACTTCTAGCCTTATTTATAATTACAACAAAAAATCCAATTGGCATACTCTAAAATTAGTTCCATGTTGTTACATTTGTTTATTTTTTACTCATTTAATCATTTTAAGGGCAGGCTATCATAAAAAAACATGTTAATTATTTCTTAGAGGAACTCATATGGAAATCACGAAAAGAATCGAGTTATCATCAGCCTTACCAAAGATTATCACTTTCTTACTAAGATTACTACTAAATACATCATGTCTCTTCATCTCCATGAAAATGATTTGTGCTCAACTTTTTGATGTATGTTTCTGTTTAGATAGATACGCATGCGTCTTGATTATTGGTTGATTAGTTAGATACCCCTGTGTGCTTTGGAAATTGATGAATGGATATTTGTAGTATTTTTACTGTTATTTGTTGCAATAGAAAGTGCTTAATATTGTATATATATTGATTTCATTCAAATAGTTGTTTCCTCTTTATGTGTATATTTAAATATATATATAGTTGTCAGTTTGATCACTGGTTGATTACATAGTCCCACATGTACAAATGTCCGTCGAGGACGTGCTTATTAACTTTTGATTGTTCTTACCATGCAGTAAACGGATCAGTGGTTTTGACATGGCTCCACCTGTACCTGCTTTGATGCCTGGTGTTACTGCTCCAGGTAGTATGCAATAATTCTAAGTTATAACTAATGTAAGTGCTAGTTCATAATTCATGCCTTCTTTAGAAGTAAGATTAGTACATGAATTTAATTTGAATAACTAGTTTGTAGTGACAACGCAATCTTCATAATCTGAGTTAAATGCATACATTTCTTTTTTCATTTTAACAATTTTGTTTTGAAACTGAGCACCGTTTGGTTGTTTTCTTGTTTTTGGTGTTTGTTTGTTTGTTTTCTGTGTAATGTTGTCATAAGAAGGCAATGTTGGGCAACTTGTTCCACTGTGCTGCCAATGGGCGTGAGCCCCTCAACTTCTGTAGCCTTTCTGTTCAAGGAGGAACC